CAAAAACTATTGACTTTTTTCAAATTTTTTTTTTTTCAAAATTTTAGAACCATCTTGTTCTAGAACTATATATTTTTTAAATATTTTCACCCTTATATTTATCAGGTTAACCATTATCAACTTTTGATTTTCAAATGACAACCTATCCCTACTTAAAATTTCATAAATTTAAAAGGCTATTTTTCAATGAATTTTCACATTTAAATTTTCATTTTTCGTTAATCCGTTTACAAAATATAGCCTCCCAAAGTTGGGTGGTTTTGGGTAGTGTTTGTGTGTTATGGGTGTATGTTAGGTGGTATTTACACACAGACACCATATAAGTGTTGTTTGATAAAAGAATCACCCTGTATATATATATATACATAATACTACTATTGTCGAAATTTATTTTCATAGCTTATTGGTATACGTTTTGAAACATGATTCAGCATAATAATACAGCAGACGAACGAAGAAAGATGTTTAATAAATCTCTCGATTTTTTGTTCCGTTCTGTTTCGTAAAGTAAAAAATAAATAAATAAATGTCGATTTATCATCCCACGTATACCATCACGTTAAGCAGATTACATTTTTGAGCTCCAGCCAAATATTCCGGTAGACCGGAATAAAATTAATTTCACTACATTTAGCTAGGCAATTCATTACGCGACTTATCTCTTCCAGCACCTTAACATTTCTTAAACATTTTTAAGTGTCCTCTATAGTTATGTATGTCCAAACAATTGGCGTTGTTTGAGTCGAAATTGATAGAGTCTGCGGACTAATAACGAGTAAGATTATAACGCTGAAATCAAAATAGTGTTAAACAATATAGACGCGCAAAACCTCCTCATGTACACTAAACTTTGATAAATAAATAAAATTGCCGTATTGTATCATATTATTTTTTGCATAAAAGTATTAATCAGACAATTGCTTGCCATTATAACTTTAGTTGTGTTTGCGAGTTGGGTGAAAATAACACGCATGCCCCTTTGATGTACAGTCGACACAATTAATTGATGTACCTAATCAATTAGTTATATAATATGTGCCTAGAATGTTAATTTTTCATGTTAACTGCAGTTGCTTTGTACATTGCTTTATAGCTGTATTGATGTACACGCAGTACGCGTAAACAGAGTAAAATTAATTTTCGAACGGCCCACATATTATTATATTACGTGTGCGTTGTCCAGATTTTATTACAGAAGTAATAAACATAATATAATAATCTGCACCATTAAGCCTAATGGGTGATGCGGTGGACGATACAACGTACCTATTAATAATAAATTGTCGGTAGGTATATAATAATATACGTGTAACTAAATATTATGAAAATCGCGACCATGTTAAAACAGTCATCATTATCCCGCGGGTAATAGATACAACCGCAACAAAATTCAAATGAACGGAGGATCGTGTTTCCACAAATCGATCGGTTAGGTTAATCTTCGAGGTGAAAAATTTTTGGATTAAAAACATTATAATATCTATACCGACGACATAAAATATGGATCCGATCGTCATAATTTTACATTATATCATAGACTGTTTTTTTTTTACTCTATTACGTGTTACGTATTAAGCTTTTTTAAACTACTATATAATTTATAATAATATCATAAGTGTGCCAACAATATTTTTGTGGTGATTTCTTACAAATCGGGCGAAAAAATATTGCGCCCCGGTTAAATGAAAATTATTCATATTGTTTATACATAGAAACACTAAAATACTCACAATAATATAGGTAAGTAGTCAACAATAATAAATAACAGATTACCGAGTGTTTAGCGATTTAACTACTGTGCAGGACTATATAGTTTTGAATTTGGGTATTAAGTATTAGCATATATGCACAGCTTAACTGCTTCGGTGAATTTATGTATTTATATGATTCAATATTATGTGTTGGCAAATAATAGAAATATTACATTCAACATGTTACTTCAATCGAATTTAAATTCGTATTTCTGTTTGCGAAACGTATTTTTATTTATTAAAATGTAACAATTTTTGTTCAAAGAAAAATCTGTGTTGTTAATAATATTAATGACTTGGATCACTAAAAGCAAACATTTATAAGCCAAATGATCATAATATTAGGTGGATTAAACAATTAGCTCAAGTAATAATCTGACAATTATTGATGAGAAGTGATTGCACAATTTCTTGGTGATGTATTAAAATGTAAAAATATCAGTTTCTGTATATGAATTTAAAATTATTGCGATGTCAAAAGTATAATTGAAGGGGAAAAAATCATTGGCCCCTCCCAGAGCTTTGTTCTGGATCTGTTTCGGATTCATATATTATAGTTTTTAACACGAAAATTATCATAAAATTTGAATATGCTTGGCCTGCTGATTGGGCCAAAATATTTCTCGTTCTGTGTTTATAGATGATACTGACATTTTAAAACCACTTAGCGCTTATTTAACTTTATAGGTACATATTTATTACAATAATAGAAGGGAGTGTCTTGTAGCAATGATATACAGTATATACTTTTTTTTTCATTTATTATATTTTAAAATGTGCCAACATATTACATGTTATTACAAGTTTATTAATCACTAATCAGTATATAATTAATTTTCGTCAAAAGTTTATAGTGACCATATTTGATATTGTGCTCCCTAAGCATTTCAACTAAATTTTCGCAACTTTATAAACACCTACATTATCATAACTTATCTTATCATTGGAGCGACAAAAACCACGACATTTTATGAATTGTGTCGAGAAAGGTACCGATCAATATTTGTTTCTAGACTAAAAAGTAAGGATATGACTTAAAATGTAAAATGTATTTAAAATAGATATTTGAATTTAAGACAATAATAGATCATTCAAACATTTTAAGGTTTCTACAATGCAATAATACTTTAAGTAAATACTGTAGATTTATCCAGATAAGTAGGTAGGTACAATATTTGTTATTAGTTTGAAGATACGTGTGTACGATGCAAGTTTATGGCAATAAATCTCAAAATGTATATCATACAATAAAACATTGATCAAATAAAACATATTTAATTACAATGGTTAGTTTAATTTGAATATTACTAATGTTTAACCGATAACGGCTTATTAGCTTCTTTCGACTAAAAAAACAACCAAAAAGTTTTTACCTTTTTTCGATTTAACAAWACAATGCATTATTGTTAAGGGTATGTTCAGCTTTCACAAATTTTCAAAGCACGAACTTACCTAACGCAGCGTAATGTTGTATATTATTACTTAGCGTGATGGGATTAACATTTTAACGTTTTTCTTATTACATTAATCGTATCGAATTAGCCATTTTGATTGGATATTTTTCATACATGACATAATATAAAATCTGTCGATTCTTGCCGTGAGTTATACGATGTATTACGCGTTATATTATTACCGTTAGAAGTATATAGCTGCTACCGAAAATGGAAAATGTGATGTTGAGAAAAAAAGATTTTACGAACGCATATTCCTCTACATGTCGTGATTTATAATATATTACCGTTGCGGTGACACATACTTTAGGTACCTACCTATACCATATTATACAAACTCGCTTACGATTTTTTTTCTGTTTTTTTGTTTCGTTTTTAGCATGGATCGGTTCCCGTCACATCGTTACGTTCATGTTGTTCCTCGGCATGGCCAACGCTTACATAATGAGGACTAACATGTCCGTGGCCATAGTGGCCATGGTCAATCAGACGGCGCTGGAAAGGGACCCGACCATTCCGGACGACGAATGTGAGGGTTACTACACGCCCATCGGGAACACAACCGTACACGTGAGTAGACCGCCATATTAAAGTTCTTGTCTAGTAGCATATTATAAAGGCCTATGACTTAAATACAGTTTTGACAATCACATTATCATATTGATAAAAAAAAAAAAATTATCATAATGATATTTTCAAACTTGTGATGCCTACTGAAATTAGCAAAACTGTACATTTCGAAACCGACGAGAAATTTCTGATTATTTGAGACACTAAACGAGATATCAATGAAATTCGATTTCACTAAGAACCCTATATCGAGTCTCAAAATTAAATTTGAATAACACGAAAAAGTTGGAAGAAAGCATTATTATTGCTGTTATCGTCGCTTAAAATATTCACCGTCGAAAACTAATTCTGTAGGTATCCCTCTGTTTTAGATTCTGAGCGGAGCGATGAATGTATTGATTTTATCATGATGTGTATGTTCTTTTTTTTTATGTCATCACGTTTTGGGGCAGTAAAAATGCTTTGATTTTTGACTTCAGTGACTCGTTCGATCAGAATGTGAATCTAGATGGTACTTTGGGGGGTCAAAAGTGAAAAATTCTTAATACTTTTCTAAATAATCGAGAAAAACAAACTAAAAATTAAGGGAAAAACGGGACATTTTACGCACACTMATTTTTTGACAAAATCGATTTTGGTTTTTGATGTAACTTTAAAACAAATGACCAGATACATGAAATTTTCACCGAATGTTTATATAAGTATATTCTATTCACCATGCAATTTTCAAACATTTTCGATTTAAGTTGAACTATTCATAGCCATTTGAAATTTTCGATAATTATTAGTTCTTTTAAAATTAATATCGATAAAAATTTATTTGTTCGGTAGAAAAGCTTGAAAATTTAATACAAGGCTCTTAACATATTGTTACAATAGCAGTTGAAAAATAAAAGAAATTCATAGTGACAAATTTTTTTTATAAGCATTAAAAGTTTGAATTTTCACAAAATACGTAAAAATCACAAGAATTCACAAATTATTTTAAGCTAGAAATTCAAAAAAAAATTTCTTTTTAAATCTAAGATTTGAAAATTTAATTTTAATAAAATATTCCTTAAAAGTTTTTCAATCTTTATCACAAATAAAAAGTCTACCAGAWATTTAAATTACATTTTTATGAGCATTTGAAATTTAAATATTTACAACATTGGAACTCTAAAACAAATGACCGCAGATACTTGAAATTTTGACTGAATGTTTATAAAGGCATTTTCTATATTTGATAAAATTTTCAAAATATTTAGATTTGTTTTGAGCTGTTTACTGACATTTTAATTGTTCAACTTTTTTAGTTTTTTTTTTTGTATAAATATCGATAAAAATTTATTTGTTTGGTAGAAAAGTTTGAAAATTGAATACAAGGCTTCTGACACATTTTAACAACAGCAGTTGAAAAATAAAATAAATTCATAGTCACAATTTTTATTTACAAGCATTCAAAGTTTGAATTTTGATAACATACGTAAAAATCACGAAAATTCATAAATTATTTTATGCTAGAAATTCATAAAAAATTTTCCTTTTATATCTAAGATTTGAAAATTTAATATAAGTATCCTAACATATTTTTACAATAGCAGGTGAAAAATAAAAKAAAAATAAAGTCACAGTTTTTATTTACAAGCATTCAAATTTTGAATGTTGACAACATGTGTAAAAATCACGAACATTTATAAAAATTTTTCTTTTTAAATCTAAGATTTGAAAATTTTTAATAATCTATAATATATCCTAAACAGATAAACCGTCTTCGCTCAGAATCGTTTTTCGTATACAATGATATAATATCATTGGATTCAAATTTAATTCCATCCATTTCAATTACCCACTTGTAACCTACTGTTCCTACAGCAGAGCGACATCCACGACTTACCCGTCTTTTTAATAATATTATAACAGTGCAGTACAGCTGCCGGCAACGGAACAGCAAACAGATTCACACGAAATAATTATTCGAAAAATAAAATATAAAATCCTACACAATTTTTAATAAATGTCGAAAAAGTTTTACCGATGAAAAATTATATTAACAAAAATCCTGTGGAGGGCGGTGGAAAACTGTTCATAATTCACCGTAAGCACCGTCGAACGAATAAATTATTAACGTGATATTTTCGAACTATATTTAAATTTCTAACCACAGTTATTCTAGTTTATCGGTAATTTTATTTTAGACTAATGATAACTACTACGTCATATATTGAAAAATATTTCGGACCTTTAATAATATCGAATGAGCATCACAATTATTAATTCAATGTCATTTTTACAAAAGTTAAAAACGTCTGTAATCAACTTTAAATTACATTTTATTTCATACTCAATGACATGTATATTGTATWAGCATAATAAGTCCGCAAATTTAATTTGAAAATTACTAGTCGTTTTTATAACAACACTTTTTTTTTTTTTAACTATCACAGACCTTAGATAATAACTAATTAGTAATTATTGATTACAATATTCATATCTGATATTAATTATTATATACCTATTAATTGCTTTACGTATATTATACATAATTTTATTTGTACTTGTAAATTAATACAATACATTAGCCAAATAATATCATATATCATAAAAAAAATTTAAATTCCKTTTTAAATAATACCACGAAAGTAGTGTTTTCACGTTTTATACTTATTATTCATAATTAAATATGGTTAATGATTTTTTTTTTATTTAACTATACTAAGTACTAATATACCATTCAAAGATATTTGATAATTTGTATCATAATAATACCTACGAAGCTATATAAACTTATCTCGTATTTTTTATTTTTTTTTAATTGTTCGTTTAAGTAGCAATATATAGTAAGTTAACAACTAAAAAAATATTTTTTGTAAACTACAATCACCTTTAGAATTCTTCTGCGATTCGTCGTGTACAGCATTTAATAATAACTCACTTTTTTTTTAAACCACATTCGTAAACGATTATGGCAATGCATTTATCCATAATATCATTTTTTTTTTACAAATGCATACAGTTTATAACGATGAGTGTATTATTTCAGAGCATGTCCAACGAAGGATCATTCTTGTGGAGCACGTCCCAACAGGGCTATGTACTCAGTTCGTTCTTCTACGGCTACGTCATAACGCAGATACCATTTGGGATTCTGTCGAAGAAGTATGGCGCCAAATATTTCCTTGGCGTCGGTATGCTCATAAATTCGGTGTTCGGCTTCTTGGTGCCGTTGTCTGCCAACTTTGGCATTTTTTCCCTGATCACCATACGTTTCATTCAGGGACTTGGAGAAGTAAGTTTCGTTGCAAAAACGACGATATGATATTTTATACTTTTCCCTAACAGATTATGATGGTAGTTAGATTTAAAAATGATGCCAAAAAAATTCACAATATCATGTTTAAAACGTAATCCAAACATAAAGTACTAGATACCAGACGTGGTAAAAATTTGAATACCTAGGTGGAAATCTTATTGTGTTATAATAATAATAATAATATGTACCTAACATCTACGTCTATCTGCCTCTGTTCTATAAATATTAAATTCGGTTTACGTTGTTTTTATACATGATTTTTTATGTATTTATTTTTTTGTGGGTGGAAGAATATATATATATATATATAGGTACACATACATATACACATTTTTAGAATCCCAAGAGTGGCCGCGGGAGCCAGCGTCCTGTAACAGCAGTTGGTTGGATAAAATATTAAACGCTGTGAAAAATGTATTCTTTTACTCGATTGGATACGAAATGTTWTAAATTATGGAAAACATTCAAACCATAGAAAATGTTTTCATACGTGTTTATGCAATATGTGTCAGATGGATTTTTTCACTATTTCCTATAATTGATGTGAGTAGGACATAGCAGAAGATCTAGAGGGTGTGTATGGTTCCAAATGTTTCCCAYGGGGGTTTTAAATATTGAAATGTGATAAATTTAACGGCTTTTTTACCCTAACTTTGCAGGATGATTGAAATCATAATGCATRCATACCTAAACATCTATTTTATCCCACATTTATGTGCACATTTAAATTTATATTTTTGCTCCTGTATATCGGACAAACAACAAATATACAGTTGTAACGAAAATATTCACATTGAAATGCTATTGTTTTTCTATTTTTACGAAAAACTAAATTAAACACAACAATAATTTTTTAAGTAGGGTTTTCTACATAAATATATACATATATGTATATGTACCGATTATACTATTTCGCGATCCGAACATTTTCTGATATCAAACCTAATAACATCATTTATTTTTCAATTACCGAGTTGTTGACAAATTKCGGACGGGTGGGCGTCCATTTATTACGAAATACACGTGACCTAGTTTTTGCTTTTGACGTTTTCAGAACTTAGGGTTCACAGACGTTCCTTAAATTTCGAGCTATCGTGCTTCAGTGGTGCATGGTGTAGATTTCTCGAAAATGGTGTTCGTACAAATTTAGCGTGGTTAGGAAAACGGATTAATGACCGTATATATAATATATATATATATATATATATATATATATATATTACCTACCCTACTCTCTAACTAACTATAGACCGTATTTTATTTTTCATACGTCTAATAGACTCTAATGGTTGTTTGTTTTTTTTCTAGGGTCCCATAGTTCCTTGTACTCACGCCTTGCTCGCAAAATGGATCCCTCCGAACGAGAGAAGCCGAATGGGAGCATTCGTTTATGCAGGTTTGTTACTATTTATTTACAGCCATTTTCGGTAAAACTAAATAATATTGTTATTCGCGTGTGTATAATTTTTTTGTTATTGGGGAAGAAAATGGTTTCAACATTTTTGAACTTWATCTTAAATCCTAGATCATAATKACAAGCACGCCACCTTATCTATGAAATATTGGCGAACAACTTCTAGAATATGTGTAGCTACGTTAATTCCGTATATGTGCCTACATACTAATAGGCATATTACTAAGTAAAAATGAAAAAWACACAATAAACCTTCAACTCTGATTTGCAGATTTTTTTTACACTATTTATAAAAGCTTCTATAAAAATATTTTCTTTAACAGAATTTGTATTATTTTTTATATTAAAAAAACATTAATGATAATAAAAAGAAAATGACATTTTTGAAACGCGTGAAACAACAATGGATACTTGTAGGTGATCTCGTTACAAACGTTAGTAGATACCTTTAAAAGTATAATATGGTTGTTATTCTCGTTTTTTTTCTTTTTTAACTTTTACATTATAACTTAATCCCTAAAAGAGTTAAACTCATTAACGTGACACATTGAAATATCCTGCTGAGTCATCCCGATTAGCTTGAGCATATATTTAACTCGTGTTCGTTTAATCCCAAGTATATGGGTTGTTATGCTTTAATACTTATTCAACTAACGAACTCTATATTGAATAGGTGTATACCTACTATATGCGTGCTTTGGTAAATTTATAATTTTTATGTTTGATTTATTTTTCGAAACGGATGCGACTTCATGCAGAAGATTATCACGATACATTATATCGAACCTATTATAGTGTTGGTATAGAGGAAATGTTTACCTACAATGTTTGATTTATTTATTTATTATTTTATCCAGCTTTAAGAAATAATACATTKATTAATGAACATTTATCTAAGTGTAACGAATTTTAGTAAAGGTACCTAATCACAAAATATTTAAATCCTCACGAAACTAGTTAAACTAATTCTGGAATTAAATTATAGGGCCAACAGTATTATAACATCAAACAATTTTTTTTTTTTTTGTCACAGGGGCACAATTCGGCACAGTGATTTCCATGCCACTGAGTGGCGTGCTCTCAGAGTATGGATTTGCCGGAGGATGGCCATCGATATTCTACGTGTTCGGTGCAATCGGCACCCTGTGGTCCGTCGCATTTTTGTGGCTTGTGCATGAGGACCCCGAATCTCATCCCACCATACCGCATGACGAGAGGAAATATATTATTAGTTCCGTTTGGGGAGCTGCTGGTGTGTCTGTGAGTGTATTACAACTATTTTGGCGTGCGCGGTAGAACGGTAATAACAATTAAACGGCCGGAATTTATGRGTTTTCAAATGATAAAATATACAAAACACACATYACAAAGTACTTTAGGCCCTTGTATTGAACACTGACCCCCTCCCCCCAACGCCCCACCAAACATCCTAACCTGTCCATTCTGGGTGGTTGTGGTATATTTATAAAACTCGTGTCAATACCGTACACGCTGAACACAAGAACCGACGTGTAAATAATAACTAATTAAAATTCTATTGGACAAAGGTATTATTTACTCGCAGAGCATGGTCGTCGGCTTTCCGGCAATATTATAATTAATAACATTACACAATATAATATTATTCCATCCAAATACTGTCCAATGTTACATATTATACTGTATAGCTGGTATTGTGATATAATATAACGATATAATATTATAATATATAATGTGCATAGCGATCGTATATAATATATATATAGATAGATAGATARATAGATATATGTACGTATTTTGTTAGATGTTATATTATTATAAAATAGTATTATGTGGCAATATATAATATTATGTATAGTTACGACTAGCTGATCCCCGTGCACTTCGTCGACCGTTAAAAATACCGACTCTATATGATTCAAAATTTTTGTTTAATTCGTTGTTTATACCCGGCTATTCATGATCAAAATTTCCTGTGTATTTACCCTATCTGAATCTCCATAAATGATATTTAACACAGTAATTTAAAATAAAGGACTAAAAGTGTATTCAATCATAATATTTTATTGCATTTTAGCCAGTGGCGCCTATACCTAATATTGTGAATTTTATATTTTTAAATGATAGGAAATTTCCTGAAAAAATTTATAACTGTTTGGTCGTATAATATAATTTGTTATTTATCTTTGCTGGATATTGAAAAAGATTTATTCAATCAGATAAACGCCTAAACTATTTTGAATAAATATTGCTGATTTCAAATGTATAAATTATTATTTATTTAACATGATTATGAAATTAAAATGTTACAATATGTTTCTGAAATTGTAGTAAAAAAAGAGTAGTATAAATGTTGTTAATTTTTTTATTTTTGTAAAAAGTCTTAATATATTTTTTAAAGTTTTGATGTATCGATTAAAGTTGGTCTATGTGTAGGGGGGTGTCCCGGTGTGTCACCCGGCTTTGCCCCCCCACGGCCATGTGATGTATTCACAGATTTAGCACCCCTCGTTTTAAAGATCTAGTTGTGCCTATGATTTTAGAAATGAAAAGGTGATAAGATTTTTAAAATTGATACCTAATAACAAATTGCTATTATTTCTTATTTATTCATACTAAAGTGTATAAGTAATAGCAACCATATAATTAACAAACATATAATTGATATTATTATTACATTTATTTTATTTATTATAAAAAATCTCAAATTTTCAATAAAAAAAATTAAGAGCCACTTATCAAGATAAAATATAGCCTATAGATTCATGTGATTGTTTAGTTTTCTGATGGTAAAAAAAAATTAAGATCAATTAAATAGTTCAAGAAATTAAACCGATCAAACGAACAATTTTTCTTCTTTATATTATATAAACCTTTTAACCCCTTTAGGGGTYGAATTTTGAAAAATCCTTTCGTAGAACGAAACTATTTTCCAATATCACAAAACGAAACTATTTTTCAATTTGCATACACTCATACTCATTGCTTCTGTGGTTCCGACTAGGCGATAATGAATGACCCAGGACAAGTCATTATATATGTATATTCTGCTGTGAACAAATTGTCTTTATCGTTATTATTATAACCTATTATTATTAATGACGTATTAGATTACGAGATTTACATCGTATTTGACACGAYATTAATTATGTGCAAACCACATTATTCGTTCAGTGAGCATATTTCTGTGTTTGCTATTTTAGTTAAATGTTTACACCCGCCGTATTTTTTTGGCTCTTGACATTTGGTCAAAAAAAATAATAMCGTAATAATTCAATAGCAGACATATATTATAATTAATTCACGTCAAATTACAAAATTAGTGTAATATATTTTATCGTTTCAAATGAAATCAAATGGGTTTAAAGACTGTATAATATAATATTTATGTTTATAAAGTATCGTATGTTTAATAATATGATCGAGCACAAAAAAAAACAGTAACTTTTTGGTGTATAATAAAATTGGTTTTATTGATGTATTTGATTTGTCACGAGCTTGAAGTTTCTCACTCAATGTGCTCAAAGTAACTCATAAGAATATTGTATATSGTTTTTTTTTAACGTTTTATGTTTTACTTATTATATTTTGTTCAATACGCAAAAATAAAATACTCGCCTTGGTTCATAATTTTCCAAAATATGTATTCAGTCTTACAATAACACTAATTAATAAAACTATTCTCCGTTTAGAAAGGTTTTTAGGACATAAAGAAATAAACAATGCCTGGAGGTGGAAGTCATATTTACAAGTTTTAATTGACAGTTCTCTACCTAACAATTTTGTCACTTTTTTATAGCTTCTATAATATTTTAAATAGTTGGTGTTGTGTCTTGGTGTGGCGCAATTGATGCAATCATTCATGMGACGTGATTTAGTATAGGTACGCACCACCCGCTGCTACTAGTTCCCGGATGGGTGACCACCCGGGTTCTTGGTAGCAAAAAACCTTATCGCACATACACTTGTTTCAAACTAATCGTACCCTCACTCACAGTTAAAAAAAACTACTATAAAATGACCACCCAATGGCTTATATTGCCACAGCAGGTTAATCAATAAAAAAATCCAACAAAATAGTTATTTTTTAAATTCATTAAAAATATAATATGGAGTTCCTAAAAAAATGTGAAACGAATAACATTTTCATTTATCCATTTATCATAAAAATATTATATTGAGTATAAAAATGTTTAGATTTTAGTTATCAATACAATTTGTCAAGATTTTATATTAATTGATGATAATTTTTTAATATAACTACAAATCAATATATAATAACTAATAAATTGCATTTCAGCCTATAAATCAATCATCCAATTCGGAATTTACATAATACATATTTGGAAACATGACAAAACATATAACTATTTTTATTTGACATGAAAACATAATGTACGGTTCGTTAAGTGAATTACAGCCAGTTATTTCTTATTGAMAAATTCCTCACTTGCGCGAGATATGCAATTTATTTATCTTTATTGGAAGTAATTCGTTTTTATTGAAATTGTTTTAAATTAAATTACTCGTCATAATTATTATTATTTTCCGTGCGCCACAAAACCAACTACCGCTGGCAGTTTGATGGGCTGAAAGGAAGTTCAGAGCCCATTGAATTATGCTGAACAGTAATTGATTGAAACAATATGACCTATCACAAAACGCTATTATTTTGAATATAGATAAATTTTCGAGGGTTTTTAAACAAATTAGTAAGGTACGTTCAGAATAAGAAATTATGTTACGTGTATTATATACAAATACGTACGTTCGTGTGTTAGCGTTTAATATTTATTTTATCCATTTTATTTTTTTCCTAGTAATTTATATACTAATAAAATACGAAAAAAACTTCTTTCGACTAAATTCACCAAAAATATTTTCTTACTACAGTTTATACATCTAATTCGCAAGTGTCTTCATTAAAAAAAAATATTTATTCGCTTAATGTTACACATTTTTAAAATATGATAAACCCTTACATCAACAAAAAATTAATTTTGATATTACTTGTTTTGAATTTCCACTGATTATTTATTCAACTGTTTTCTGCTATTATCGTTTTTGGTATTGGTTCAATGCTTGATGATAATTTATAATTTATGGATTAAAATAAAAATTTTAAGCTATCGTTATTTTTCACATTTGATTGTATAATCTTTTACATTACGAGTGGCATAAMGATATTCGTCGTATACCTACTCGTATACGATTAATATGAATAATGTCTTATAGAGAAAAAAAAATAAGTCCTCGAGAGCTAAACGAAGACTCTTGAAACGAAAAAATACCTTGTAAAGTATTATTTTATATTATACATAAAAAAAAAATATGGTTGTATAAATTATTAAATATATTTTGTTTTAGCAGATTATAATAATATGCCCATTGAAAGAGAAAGCTATGTAACTATATTTACTAACTATTTTTCACTTGAATTTAAAAAAAATAACTTCAGTAATAACTTTTGATGAAGAGAAATATTAATGGAAAAAGTTATAGGTTTCATCGTCAAAGAAAAATTATAAACAATTTACATTTTAACGTATTTATTATCTCAACATTTCTCATGATGTCTGTATGATTAACATTTTATTTGCATTTAATATAATTTGTTATTTATTTTTTGCTGTTATGTAATTATTATGCAAAATTTTCAACATAAAATATTTCTTTGAGATTTTTTTCATTTATACAGAAATGTGTTATTCAAAGTTCTTTACGACGTTAATTAAACTATTAATTGATATACATTGGTATACATTAGATATATAAAAAAGCGTGTGCCTTAAAATGAAAACGAAATAAAATACTATAATTTATTTCTAAAATAAATAACATATTATACCTCGGGAATATTATGTATATTGTGTTCCGTAAGACTAAATACAACTTAATCTGGAAATAACAACTATTTGTGTAAACTTTTATGATTACATTATTTTACATATTACATATTTTTTTGCTATCAAAGAAAATGGGTACCTAACTTAGCTCATAGTATTTAGTAAAGTTCATACCTATTACTCATTATTTAAACATTTTTGAATTATAACAGTATACAAAAAAATTCAATCTATTTATTTTACCTGTAGTTCAAAAACCTAAAAACAAAACTGTTCTTACTTAGCGGCTACGCACGAACAATAGTCAGGCGCAAGTGTGCGGTTTTATTATTGTATTTCGTATATTATAATAATATGCAATCGAAATGGAACGTCTCGGGCGATGGGTTTTTGGCCAATCTGTTCGCGAGCTACGAATGCTACAACACGATATAGCTATACATATAATAATAATAATACGTTATTGTTCGGCGGAACTTTCAGAAACGCAATCCCCTTTCTCTGAACTTGTTGTTTTTATTTTCTAGTCTCCCCCCGTGCCGTGGAGAAGCATATTAAAGTCGGCTCCGTTCTGGGCCATATTGGTCGCTCACATGGGTCAAAATTACGGATACGAAACGCTCATGACYGAGCTGCCGACTTTCATGAAACAAGTGTTGCACTTCAATATAAAAGCTGTAAGTATATAAAACTATATATAAGACTATTTTATAACTCTCTAGATTATTAAATGTACATGTTGTGTGCATATAGGTACTGCACTGTATACCTATAATATTATAATGTTACATAATATATAACATTATGTGACACAATGGCTATATATTATGATGCCTGTGGGAGGGTTATTTCATTTATAATCGTTTTTTTATTGATTCATCTATACCTGTAAAGTACTACCACTCCAGTTGGCAATCGATAAGAATGACCATGCATTTGTTGTTTTTTGTCAGAACGGAACGTACTCATCACTGCCGTACCTAGCCATGTGGGTGTTCTCGATGGTGGCCAGCCATATAGCCGACATGATGATCTCCTCGGAGAGGTTCACGCACACTCTCACGCGCAAAATCGTCAACTCTATCGGTAAGGATCACACTACGTTCAATATAATAATTACCTACCATGTCCACGACATGAAGTTGGCCCCCAACTTAGTGCAAAACTTTTAAAATTTGTTGCAAACAATTGTAAATTAATTGTAAATAATTGTAAATTCAATACCTGAATTTKTAAACACCCCCCTCGGCCGTTAAGTTAAAAATAAGTTTTGGGGGGCCAAGTTCACGTAGCCCCCCGCAATCCATCTGATCGCTTCCGGACAAATTGTAAATAATTGTAAATTCAATTCCCAAATTTGTAAATTATCAGAAAACTTAGAAATCAAAAAACAAAGTCGGGGGGGGGCAAGTTCACGCAGTGATTAGGTCCAACAATCCGAAAAACTATACGTTGGCTGATTTTGAGTTATTAGATACTTAAGAATAATTGTGATATTTTTTAAAATATAAGATACCTATTATAGTATGGAAGTTATAATAATTTCCTATTTAATTTTATCCTGCTTTCATTGCTTATAGTTTTTAGAGAATGTTTACCATCTACTTCCTTTAAAAACTTTTTTGGGTGTAAATTAATTGTTACCTAAAAATGAAATGTTACCTACTTACTGATATTTTTTTGGGCTATGCACCTTAGAGTAGCTCATTAACTCAATGAACAGCGATTTTGATGAATCCTATATGTTCATTTTATCTAAACTACGTTTTTGCATTAATTTTTATCACTCATATTTTACTCATTATGTTACTTACGTTGGCTGATTTTGAGTTAGGTAAACTCGTATCTTTAATCAAAATATAAAATAAGAAAATTAAGATTGGTTAAAAAGTAAAAACTCCTATCATTAATTTAAAATATAAAATAAAACTGTAAAAAATTATGGTTTGWTAAAAAATACTAACTCGTATCTTTAATTAAAATATAAAATACAACAGTAAAATAGCTCAATAAAAATATTACTTTGTCCATTATATTATTTCATTCGTTCGGCCAATGATGCATTGCACCTAATATTATGTGCCTTATAATTATAATATTAYCTAATATACGGTTATAATAACGATATAGGGGTACATATAATTACTGATATTAATATGTGACGTCGAACAGGCTCGTCGTGCTAATATGGCGGGCAGAATGTTTGATTATATATATATACATATATATTGACCTTTTCGATCTCCATCGTGTAACGTGAAGCGGGTCTGGTACACATTATAAATTTATAACGCATCTACTATAGGTAGTGACTAATTTAATTGGCCGGGTTTTCACGACGAATTGCGTTTCATGACCTTCAACGCGATTTTGCACTAAATAAATAAACTAATATGGCAAACCTTTGGTAAACCCTCAGAAAGAGTGTTCCGCCAATATCGTAATATGTTTGTAAAGTGCGGACCGTATCGAGAAGGTTTGGTTAAGAACAAGCCCTTTTAAAACCTTTGAAGTCTTAGAGCTCGTCAAATTATAATGTATACGTATGAAGCATTCTGCTTGTTAAGCACATAGAAAAAGTTTAAACGGGAAAACATAATGTAGATGTAGCTGTAGAAAAAATGAAAATGTTGGAGTACCTACCGTCTTTTTTGTGTTTAAAATTTATTTACTAGGTTCATAAAAAATTCACAAGCTCAGGTAAAAAATGTTTTCCGAGTAAGAAATTCTAAAATATTTATATCTAATCTACGATCGTTAACAATTTAATATTGTATGATACATTTGTCATTTCCTCGTGCGTTTAAATTCATAATAAATCGGATGAAAATTCAAAATATAATATATAAGCATAYTTGTGTRACCGAGTTTATATTTCAATGATCRGATTATTTAATTTTTTTTCTATCAGCGTTTTCGTCTGCATCCAGCCAAAAAATGCTTTTTGAAATCGTTAAATATATGATAAGATATAAGTATATTCTTAATATATATAATATTATGTATTTTTAATATCATATTTTCAAATATTTAGAATTTTTTTTCAATTTGCCCATAACCATTTTAACTGTACATTGATAAGCTGATACTATGTTCATAAATGTTGATGGTTCAAAATCAACGAGTGTTTATCCAATCACTCTGTATAGGATATACATAATATTTATACCTTATCACCTATAATATACCATAACATGTTTGTACTTTCGTGTTATAGCCTCTACGGTTCTACACTTATACAAAGAAAATATATTATTTTACGATAATATTTCGACTTGCGGCCATATATGCGTGCGTGCATACCATATTCAAGTAGGTGGATGCAAATAAAATATGGTTTCGTGAAAAAAAGGGTCATACATTTAAGGTATCATTATCGCCGGTCCGTGACATATTATTGTATTTATCTAACGACGCGTCTATAAATGAAATTTTTTCAATTTCCAGACACGCCTATATGCACCTAAYTACCTACCTAATCCACGCCCGAATTGTTATTTAAAACGGTTTGCGTACAAAACAACAGATATTATAATTACTATTTCGACGATTGTTTTACAATTTAAATTTTATACGCTTTATAAAGCAATGGTGGGCTAATTAGTTTAACGAAATAACTACCTATACCTGCTTACTTACCCATAAACCGACCAGGGATTTATTGTTTAAYGAAGATAAATAGGATTTAAACTTATACTTTTTCGTAGATTAAAAAAATAATAGTTTCATGGGCTCGTGGCTGACTAATTTATTTTAAAGAAAATTATACCAAATCACAGTGGGATCAAATTATTATTGCGTGGAATGTAGTCTTATGCGTTTTAGTTTCTGCGGATAAAATGTATACTATATTATACTCACCCAATGATTTATGATGGTTAAGATCGCACGAACATTAGCCGCAAAAACAACAGAAAAAGAATCCATGTCGAAACGATAAAAATAAATTGAAAATCTAATTGTACTTTTTATGTATATTATGTATGAAATTACATCAACGGTGTATACGATTTGTTTTAAGAATAACATTTTAAATCCATATTTCAAAAACATATATTATCCATATAGTTGCCATGCATAAAATTATTCAACATAAGTCTTGTCCAATGCTAGTCTTGCAGTGACGTCAAAGTAGTATCTAACTGCAGTTATTTGTAATTTTAAAATGTTAATTATAATAGTGGAGCCCGAAAGAAATCACTAATGTAGCAAAGAGAAAAACATTTTAAAAATGACTTCACATTAAATAGATGGACTTAAAAAATATATATTCTTTTATTATATGTTAAATTGTTTTCATAGGTATATGACTATATTCTATACTTATTAGATAATACTACAATAATACCGTATGGAAAAAAAAATAATGAGAAAATATAAATACAAGGAATATGTTGTTCGAMTGCATGATATTATATTAAATGTGTTATTTGAAAGTTACATAATTTTATGGCAAAATATGCATTCGAAATATTATTTTTAATGACAAAGTAAAAATCGTTTCGCACGAAAAAATAACATTGTGTTTAATCAAATAATTTAAATTATCTTAATACATCGTGTTTATTTGTGGAAATATTGATGAATAATGAAGTATCAATTTTTTTATGGTATTATTGAACAAAACATGTAGGGAAGGCAATTCCCTCGGTGATAACGTTATTGCAATCAATGTTTTTATCATATTACTTTTAGATGTAGGAAGAGTATAATACAAGAAATATACAACTATAATATAATAGAGATTCGTAATCTTGGAGTCTTAAAGTTTGAAAAGCATTCGAATTGTCTATAGAGTTCAAGTTTATAATTTAATCCGGGTCTTCTATTGTGCTCTCTAGAAACTGAGGCTTATTAATTTATCTATAATATTATATATAACTGACGTATATGATATTATACTCCGTTTTAAGACATTTTTTCATTACATATTAWATTCTGAGATATTCCGTTTTTGTCATATTGGTATAATATTGTTATATTTGTTGTGTTGGACAACTGACGTATAATAATAAAAAACAATTTTTGAATATTCCTTACAAATAACGAAAATACATAATAATATTATGCAATTAAACATAAGAATTAATGATTTGTTTCTATTAATAAAAATTTTGTAATTTAAAATAAATATACTTAACTAAATTTGAATCGAATTATATAATAATAACGAAGTATGACGATAAATTTGTCATATATCTATAGCACTTTCAATTTAAATTGTTCAGTTTAGAATTATTCACTGAATTGCATTTTTCGTGTGTAATGTCTCTAAAAATGAAATACCCGTTTGGTATGCTTTTTTTATTGTTATCAGAAAGTTGCAGAGGATGATATATTATAATTTGCATCATTGTATTTTATTATATTACACATACTATATTATGTTACATAATATGATGCACACAATGTAACACAATATAAGTACCTATTAGTATTTTAGTTAAATTAATGTATATTAACCAAACACAAGACTGTTGTCGAGGAATTAGATTAATTAATATAGTTGTTTATTTAATGGTATTAGTGTATTACGTTTGTTTGTTTGGTTTTAGAACAAATATTCCCTATTGTTCTCTCTGTTTTCTTTCTTTCGAACACGATAAATGATTATCACACTTATAGTAATTAACCTACCACGACTGGCGAACTGGAAATTAAATATTTATTAACCATAAAAAAAAAAATTATTTTTATTTTAGTAAAACAAACAAAATAAATGTCAACACAGAAATTAATCAAATTTTTTAAGACCGGATAAGTACTTTAAATTTTTAGTCATCTCAATTATAGTTAACCACGTACCTGTATTTAGCATTGTTTTTGTACCTATGTTATATTTTATCCTATAATAAATTCAAACCAATAAATATACTTAAATTGTTTTCTTTAAAGTTTGTAATATAAAGATAGCTCTAAATATATATATTAATTCAATGTTTTAATATAAATTGATTTTAAATTAGTTAAATTCATACAGAAGACATATCCAATACAACACTTAAAGTACCAAAATACCAAGAATAAGCTATACAGCATACACTGTAATTTTCAACATTTGATGTAAAAGTCCAAGTCAATTATTATTGATGAATTCAAATATGTACTCATCTCATCGATATTTTAGATAGGTTACTTGACTTTGTTTGATTACTTTTGAAGCATTCGATATAAGGTTCTGAGTGAGGATCATTTTCTGACAGTGAATAAATCAAAGTTCGTGTACAAAAAAATAGAACTTTATTAAAAAAGAATAGATGGACTTATGATTTTTAAGATTCAAATAAATCAAATCAGCCCATCGTTTCAAAAAGTAATTAAATTCTTAATAGCGTGTCACGCCTAATTTTCAAATAATAAATCTTTTAGCACCGTCCAAATTTTTATTTTTGTCATAAAAAATCTATCTTATTTTTTTTTACTAAATAAAAAATAGTTTTAAAAATGAGTTGAACATTTCGTCATTTTTATTATTATTATTTGTTTTTCTCAAAAAACCACTATACTTAAAGAGAAAACATATACATAAATAGCTTGGTATATGAGAGAAAGATAATAACTTTTAAAGTACACACAATTACTCGTCAGTTTCTGTACAAGATTTTAAATGAAGACTTAGGCTATAAATAAATAATATTGCATAATGAACAGTTGTAACCTAAACTAATATTTGTACTTTATACAGAGTAATCCACATAGCGTTCTTACCATAATTTTTTTCCTTTAACGATTTATTTATTGATATTATGATTTTTATTATTCTAAGTGTACTCAAGAACCATATTTTTTAAATATTCAGATGTTTGTCAATTTTTAGTAGTGCTGTTCCCTGTGGTGGCATTAACATTTTCAATCAAAGCCGTTATTTTTATTTTACATCGTTAATCAGATGATTTTTTGAATGCATTAACAATTTACWGAAAAAAAGGGTGGTTCTTATTTTAAATGAAAAGTAATACTCATTAAATTATATAAAAATATAAGTTCTATTTTTTTGAATATGTCACAACATCAAAACTGACAGTAACTTTAAATAAATATAAAATTTCTTAATAATATATTTATATATTATATAAATTTATTTTTAATATTTTTTTTTAAATTCTCTCCTCTTTCCATTTCGACTTGTGTGAAATTGAAATATTTTATAATATTTGATGCAGCCTCCTCCTCCAAAAAAAAAAAATAAGTATGACTGATTTAAAAAAATCACCCTAATAATAATGCACTGGGTATTGCCAAAAAAATAGCCAGACGACGATATTCCGATTACATATGAAAAAGACATCAATCTTAAATAGGATATTCGGATGATACTTAATACTATTAGCTGAATAATTTCATACGATTGTCAACAAATTCTAAAATGGACACAACATCATGTTTAGGAAAAAAACCAAAACATGTTTACTCGGGACATTTGATAGTTTTTAATAGATTCGTTTCACGTCATGTTCATATAGCATTTTATGTAAGATAGATTTAAAAGAAAGAAGTAAGAAATACATTTTAAAAAAACTCGTGGTTTTATTTTAAGGGACCATTATCATACCGTTGATGACAACACTGCGGCGATCAGTTAAAATAAAAAAAATAAAACAAAGTAGCGAGTTATATGTATATCATATAATATCATAACTGCAGCAGCCGCATCCGAGGCTATAATATCGTTAGCGACACGTTCGAAAAGCTAATTTCCGATCGGAGGAACGCTTTAATGATTTCCGATTACGGAGAGAAATTCGACAGCGAGCCATCTGCTACTACTGCTGCTTAACAAAATAAACACATTGTTCGACGACGGGTGTAGAAACTGCATTGTAGTGCTTGTACAACAGATAATATTATATTTTATAGCATAATATATTATTATACGTATTTTAGTGTGTGTGTGGGGTTTTCATCGATGTTGCTGAACCTGCAATGTGTATAGCTGCTATAATATACGTTTTAAAATATTATACAATGCCAATGCTTGTTATCATTATTATTATTATTATCATCATCATCGGGCCTGACTCGAGTGTTTGAACACACTTAGGAAAACTTTACGTCACTTCAACTACACCAGTACACCCCTATTTTTAGTTTTACGAAAGTCAAAAAATGTAAATTTTATCAGCAAACGCTGCCCTAAGCAATCGACAGTCAACCCTTAATCCGGTCCTCGTGTTACTTGTCATTGGAATAACGATATACTTACGTAACTATTATTATTATTATTATTATTATTGACGCGTAACCATCATCACACTGTATGACGTCCATCGTGACTAAAATATGAGTGGATCGTCTGATTGGAGGATCGTAAATTTCTACACGAGAGTAACAGGTAGACAATTACATACGTAAATTCCTACATATGTGATGTGTAAGTTCCTACACAGTAAAAAAAGGTACACGTATAAGTTCCTACACTACGTATATTATATAAGTTATCAATCCACGCCTATAAATTACTGTAATTTATTTTTAAAATTATTAAATATTACAAAGAATACATTTATTATATATTTTTTTTTTTACAATTATTATTTTTTAAATTATTAAATTGATAATATTTATTAGGTAAATTATTAAATATCATAAATAATTACATATTGTATAGAATAAAGGGTTAAAATGTATGACAGTATTATARTATGATATAACTGATATTAGATTGATAACTTATAATATACGTAGTGTAGGAACTTACAGGTGTACCTTTTTTTCCCGTGTAGGAACTTACASGTGTACTTGTTTTTTACTGTGTAGGAACTTACATTTGTATTTTGTTTATAGGTCTCGTGTAAGAAATTACATTCGCCCGTCTGATTAGGTACTAGCTCAGGAAGGACRGTGCGATAGTTGTGGTAATAATAATGATCCGGTCGAACTATATTTGTTAATTTTGTCTTTCCAGGTCAATTCGGTCCAGCGATAGCGCTGATCGCGGCGTCCTACACGGGCTGTGACCCGTACCTGACTGTGGCCATACTGACAGTGGGCGTTGGTCTCAACGGCGCCATTTACTCGGGATTCAAAGTCAACCATCTGGACATTTCACCGCGGTTCGCCGGAATACTGATGAGCCTCACCAATTGTCTGGCCAACTTGGCCGGTCTGCTGGCCCCGATCGTCGCCGGCTACGTTATTGACAAAAGGGTAAGTGGAAAATTGTATCGAGTGTAACAATGACAGTCGGTGAACACGAGTTCGCTTGCAGTTTTGTATTACGTCTTTTATTACGACTGTTTTGTAAGTTTTGACTGAAAATGTAATGCATCATAAAAAGTCTTTTGCCGAAAAACAGCAAAAACTGAGTAAAAAMTAAATTTGATAATTTTATTGCATTAAAACTTAAATTTAAGTCTCTCTTCTATTATTTACCGTTTGTATTGGATTGGCGCATATACACATATACAAATTACATAATCAGATAATAATAAATAATATTATAAATTCGGGAAATTATTAACGATTGAAATTAAAATGATTTGTTATGCAGCTGAACTCGAACACAATGTTACCATTAGAATAAGGAATGAAAAKAAATAAATATATTTCGCAACAATTTCATATTCCTAGTTTATAGGAAACTGAATTATTATATTATCCCTCTAATCACTACGACTTCTACTGCTATTCCCGCTGTAATAAATCAAGGAGACTTCAACCTTGAAATCCGTTAAATCCGAGACTGAGCATCTCTATTTAACGTTTCAGTTGGGAGCCATCAATTCGGTTGTTTTGTTTTTGACTTCTTTTTGACTTTAGCTAATGATCGAACTCAAAATTTTAGAAAATAATGGGGGCGTTTGGTGGCCTATACGTACATAGGTAACGCGGAAACAAATATATTTTTCAACTAATTAGTTATTATATATTTTTAGTGGGAAAACAACATTTTAATTAAAAAGTTCTTTTAAAAAAAAAATTAACATTCACGAGAGAAAGCAAAAAATATACAAAATCTACTTTGTATGATATTTTATCTCCGTATTATATTAAGCTAATTTTTTTTTGGTTTTTACCTTAGCATAATATAACATTTAATTTTTTATATTATATTTAAAAATGTCTATTTAAATTAAACAACATTAATACGTAGGTAATATTATGCCTAAATTACATTTTTTTTTCATGCAATGAGCCATACGGACAAAAACTAAGTTTGGTATACGCAGAACGTTGGCATTTTAAATCAATTTATTTTAAATTATCGCATTAGTATAATAATATATATTACCATACCAAGAAGCTTATTAAATTATGAAATAAAACGTTCCTAATATATTCAAAGCTTTAAATATTTTAGGCATAATATTTATCTATAATTTACCCATAGATAACTGATATTATACAACTTTGTTGTTCAAGGTTAAAACCTCAAAACCTTAAAACACAATACAATGGTCTGTAAATTATGATATTGTATAAAAAAAATACTTGAAATATGATATTTAGTTAATATTGTATTAAAATCCTAATTAGTAATAACAATGAAAAAAAATACTTGAAAACAATGAAAATAATTATTATTATAATAATATATATATTATATATATATTATATATTATATTATTATTATATTATATTATTATTAATAATATATTATTATTATAATAACTATGAAAATAATTATTACAAAAACATTTGTAGGTATTAAATATTTTTAAATATCTTCATAATATTTTGTATCGTGAAGATAAAGCTTCAAAAATTTAAAACTTCAAAAATTTTGCAACTTCTTATTTATAATGTCTAGAAAAAAATAAAATTCAATATTATCTGTGTCTGCAAGTTTTTTGATTCATTGTTAAATTTGACTTAAATATTGTGGTCTAAATTGTATTATCTGCTAGTATTTTCTATGTTATCTGAATTTCAAATTTCAAATATGACTTTAAATAAGTAGGTACCTACATATTACTTGGAAAAAAAATCCATTATGAAATGTAGAATAATTACATAAAATCTCGGGAGCTTAACCTCAAAAAATATTAACGGACATAATAAAAATAAAACCATGCAATAAATAATAATAATATCGCGATTGTATTTCTATGTAATACATTTTATAATTTGGTTTATAAATATGGGGTGTGTTTAATTTTATTATTATCCTAATAATATTCATTATATTAAAACTAAACGGTATTTCACAAAATAAGTATGTATGTTTTAAAATGGATTTTTTTAATTTACGATGATTAACGTCAATTGATCATTTCCACAAAGACGTGTTTTGTACAACGTTTTCGTGCAAACTTTTTTAGTATGTTTGCATGCTAAATTATACTTAACAAAATTACAATATTTACCACCCAATGAAATATTTTAAACCTAGATAAGCAATGAATGATGTATTTTTCATATAGAATATCATAAATTCGTATTGGATTGGTCTGGTTATTACTTTTAAACCTGCAGCAGCAGCAGTATGGCAGTTGAAGGCAATAATTTTCATTTTATATTATATATTCGTGTGATGTACCAAATGGTATTTTATGTTAATATAAGTTAACCTAAAACGTATCTGAGATATTATTCTTAATATGTATCTTAAGAAAACTAGTTCTGTTGGAGCTCAGCGTCTGCTTAGAAAAAGAATAAATATCTTATATGTATATATATGCGCATTTCAACAAAGTACGTACATTACAATTTCGCAATACAAAATAGTAAGGATTACCGTAGAACTTTATATAATCCGTAATATCCGAAAGGCGTATAATATGGTACTTACGTTACAAACTTTTTGAAAATGTATACAATAATGTTTTATAATATGTATAAATATGCATTTATACGTTTAAAAATAAATAATGCACATTTCATTCCCAATGTAATCAGAGATACCTAAGAATCAAATTAAATTAAAACTGTTTAAGTAGGTAATAGATAGCTAAATAGTGTAATAACATTTAAATAGTAATAATAATTATACTTATTGATGATCTAACGTTTAAATTTTAGACGGTCATAATTAAAATACAATATAACTCGATTTGCTATTAGTATATATAAAAAAAATTGACACACAAGAAATTACTGATGTATATTATATTTCACAACGTTAAAGGAACTTGTACATATTTAAAAAATGTCTACGTTGTGATTTTTCACTCATGAAATATTCGACTAAAATAATATAATTAGTATATTTTTAAATTCAATATAATAAATTCATATCGCGTGATATTCTATGGACATTAAAAAAAAATATTTTTCTTAGGACCGTCTAACTTTAAAATTAAACCATAATTAATTAAGCGTTGTATGTAAGTCATTTTCATAAATTTCGATGATTAATTTAATAAAAATCCATATTTTAGGAAGTTATTATTCCCATTAATAATAATTAATAGTTATTTCTTTACACAAGAGAATAATAATTGTCTACCACAATGAAGTTCTCGTAACAATAGCTTAATGGGCTAATAAAAATATTAAAACCTTGTACAAAATATATAATATTATTTACCATTGTTGTATTATTCAGGAGCGTTTTGGATTGGTTATTTTTATTACATATAGAATACATTTAGAGTGTATATATTTAATATATAAAAATTATAGAGCTTTATGATAACAGTTTTATGTTTTATAAAGCATAATATTTTTATGCATAAATAGATTTTCAAAATTTCTGGTAGAKAAAATTGAGGTTAAATTAGAATTATTTTTAAATCGTAGACTTATTTCTTTAGAAAAAATAAAAATAAACACTTGTCATGGCAGTTACCCAGATGAGCGTTTCTTCATTCTGCTTATTTACTTTAATATCAATTCTTTCGTTTTTGTGACATTAAGGTCATGTTTTATAAGACACAAAAACAAATTGGGAAAGACGGAACATCGTGTAACTCATGATATTGTCTGTGAAACCATAATAACTACTTCCCTTAACAGTACATTAATTGTATATCTGAAGATTAAATGTCGCCTGAAATCATTCTTACATAACAGTAATTAATTGTATTGTATTGGACATACTAGTATGTTATTTAATAAAATTACTTAACACACATCCAATACAAAAATTTTCTATAAAATATTAATAACTTAGATGTTTAATTTAGTTTCTGTTAACGTCAATATTATTATTTTCATTTTCAATTTCATATGATTTTCAAATTTATTTTATTGTTTTCAAACATTAATTAGTTTTTAGTATACAGTGACTATTTCCTCTTGAAATTAGAGGGTTGGTTAAAAAAATAATTTAATTCATCGAATACTTCATTACAAATCAATCATTATTTATGTTATCATCTCTAATATATGTAYGGTTAAAATTATTAGTAATTCCCTCCAAAATGAATATATTATTGTTTTACTTTAACCATATTTTTATTGCACATGTTATCATACTTATGTTCCATATGATAAGATTTCAGAGTTCAGGGCGTCCTATTAGTTTATCTCTCAGAATTATGTATACCATAAGAAATTCACGTTCAATCAATCAAATTCTGTGTGGTTTGTTATTCCATATTAGAGTAGATATCACAATTTTAAGATGCAAATTACTTGCTTTAAATTTAAAGTAACAATAAAAGCCTTTGATAGTTT